ATCCCTGGTTGTAGTCAGTTAAATGGTCATAAGAAAATTTTATTTAAGAATTAGGGCCAATCATGATAATGAAATTATAATCATCTATATGTATGTGTCATATCTTTGGTAAACTGTCCTAAAATTATCATAAATTTTTCGTGTTTAAGTGGACCACAATACTGGCGATCGATTAGACGAAGACGTGAAAATGAGGGTACCGACAAGTGGAATAAGGCTGTCCAACAACTATGATCCTAGCGTCACAAATTTTTCTCGATAATTAATTTTTAAGTTGTATATTTTAATTGGAGTAAATTTAATTTTAATTTTAATTTTTTTATTTTTATTTTGTTAACTGCTAAAGTAAAATTGTTTTATTTTAATTTTTAATTTTTGCAAAGTTAATTTAGTTTTATTTATTTTGTTTTTAATTTTATTTTTAATATTAATCCTCAAAAGATTTTTAAATTTCTTTAAAAATATATTGGATTGTGTTGGACACTGTCTTCTACTGAGTGGCTATCTGGTAAATGTGAAATGGGTATAAATAGGAGTTTACAGCCGTAATCTCCATCATTTTTTTTATTCCGGCCGCAAACTCCTCTCCACCCTCTCTCTCTTCAAAAAAAATTCGTCAAATCTTGCAAATGTACTCCGAAAGTCTCGAAGGTAATGAGTTTTGGATCAGGAATATGTATCTTATTGCATGATTCACCTCGTTTTTGAGGCAGAAATCGAGAAAGAAGAGCCGTCGGAGTTTGCGGCCCAAGCTTACGGCCGTAAACTGCTTGCAACCGTAAACTCCGCAAATGGTCGATAATGTACTGGCAAGGGGTTTACGGCCATAAACCCCCTTGTTGACCGCAAACTCCAATGTTGACTAAGAAAATTGATTTTGACCTAATTTTAAAATTGTTATGTTATTGTTAGGATCAAAATTAAATTGTCTAAAATTTTAGTTGTTTATTTGGTTCTTTTATGGTCTTACTTGGTATGGTTAGTGCAGATCAATGGCGAACCTCAAATTTGCGGACATGCATAATCTGGCTATTGTTTTGGCGGATCCTCCAGCTGTTCATTCGGACCTCAAGTCGATGATTCACAGACTCAGGGAATGTTATCTGTCATCAGCTATCACTGTGAATCCAGTTGTCTACCAAAACTTGATCAGAGAGTTCTGGGCGACTGCTAAAATGGAAATGGATGATGTTGGAGTTGTCGTTATTAAGGCTACTGTAAAAGGACGCGAGATAGTGATCACAGAAGGCTTTATCAGAGTTACGTTGCTGATTGACGATCAACCTAATTTTCCCACGGAAATTGGGATTGAGGATGCTCAGAGAATTCTAAGGAGGATGGGATATGAAGGTACTTCACCTCCAACTTTAAAGAAGCTATTACCTCCATATTGGAGATTTTTGGCGCATGTGTTCGTTAGCTACATTTGAGGAAGAAGATTAAGAGCTGATGAAATTTCAATGAGGAATACTGGAGCGATTGTTTCTCTTGTTGCCGGAATAAAATTCAACTTTTCTAGATTTATCTTGGATAAGTTTACGGTAAACATCAGGGTTTCAACTCGGATACTTTCTTATTGTATCCTAGGTTCGTTCAATTGTTTATCAATACTCATTTTCCAAATATGGTGAAGAAGGCGATACTCTTGATATGAAATCATTGGGTCCTCACACCGTAGGGCTCATTAAGCAAAACCGGAAAGGAAAAGTTATTTTTCAAGAAAAGTATCCTCTAGAGAAGTTTGGAAAGTTTGCTGAACTGAATGAGTCCTCGGAATCTTATGGATCCTCTGACAAGGCGCATATGAGCCTGCATCTTCTGAGAAATCATCTACAAACAACAATGTTATTACCGTATCTGACGATGAGAATAGAGAAGAAGAAGAGGCTCCGACTCCTGAAGCTAATGTGGCGGAAGAACATGATTTGATCCCTGCTAATGTTCAAAGTGACTATGTTGAAAGGACTGTAGCAACTGAGACGGAGGTTGAGGGACATAAACATGATTCTTTTGACGATCTTGATCTTACCGGATTTGATCATGATGATATTGTTGCATCGCTTGCAAGTAGTGCTAATTTTGTTACGAACGAAAACCTTGACACGATTTTTAGCAATGTCGATGAAGTCGTTCCTCCAACGACAGAGATAAGGGAGCCTGATGAAGTTCTTGAAACTAAACTTCCTACCACAAACCAAATGGCGAATACTTCCACTCCTATGGAGACAGTTATAGGATTTCCTCCTGCTATTTCTGCTTCACTTACTATAGAGCCATTCATGAGTGATCTTACATCAACACAGACCGGTCAACCCCCATTGAAGAAAAGAAGAAGGGATCCAAGGCAAAGTGATTTAATTGCAGATCTTGTTAGTGGCCTTCCAGTACCACCTACCACTACTCCTAGTCTTACTACAATCAAGCATTTTACTGTAGGACCAGACACCACTTTTGAAGTTGGTGGATCTTCTTTTCCACCAGGTTTTTCTCCTCCTCGATCTGATGACGATGATGCTTCTGTGAGATTAGCTAGGCTCTTGGCTGAGGAGCAAGTTTTGATGCCTCCCCCTTGCGGTAAAGGTATTTCTATTGGGGATCGCAGTTCTGGAGGAGACAATCTCACTATCCCTGGGCTACAGAAAGAGATATCGGTGCTTAGTCAGAAGAACATTGAGCTTGACATCCGTGTTTTGGATCTTCAAGTTGAAAATACAAAGCTTAATGTTCAAGTATCTAAACTTCAATCAGATAATTCAAAGCTCGGTGTACAAGTAGCTGATCTACTTAAGGATTAAAGCATTGAAGTCAAAGCAGATTTCTGATCTTCAAGATCATTTCAATCTTTTGACTTCAAGCTATTTTGAGCTAAAGAAGAAGCTTGAGGAAGACCTCGGTGATAAGTATCAAACGTCTGATGATGAATACAAAATCAATCTTCATGTTCAAGCCTTTCCTGTTACCTTGCCACTGGTCAGACATCACAGGATGTTGATCGTGTTGAGAATGAGCGTCCCAAAGCTCCTCATTTATCAGCAATGATACGTGATGCTCAGGATGAAGCAGCTAAGAAGGGACAATTGTTGTTTAAGAGGAACCCTAACCATAATGCTTCGTGGGATGAACCTGAGATTACTGTGACTGATCTTGAGGTTGTTCAATTTAGAGATACATTCGGCAATAGATCAGGAATTGTTTCTTGGGGATTTCATGATCCTCTCAATATGTGGATCCTGCTAAGAAAGAGTGGCAACTCTGAGCTTTACAGAGATAGTCATGATTTCAACTCATGGACTAGGGTAGATTTGACAGAATTGTCATGAGCTCCTTTTTCAAATTTCACAAACAATCCACAGGCGACCCAGTTCAAGCACTTTCTTGAGGATCAGGTTAAAAAGGGGTTTCCTGCCATGAAAACTGTTGAGTCTGTTATGTTGCAGCATCCTGATATTATTGATCCAAAAACCGACAAAACTCTACAAGTTGTGATGTGGCTTGCAACTAAAAAGGTTAAACAGTTCCTTGTGCTTCAAAATTATCAAGATGGATCTCTAAGCTCAATGGAGTGTTGGGTTTTCGATGAAATTACTTCAGCTGCGGTAATCAAGCTCAAGAATGGATGCATTCGACTCTATGACCGAAGAGATTTGTTACAATTTCGAAAGTGGGACATTCATCACCTAAGCAAATTTCAGATATTGGTTGCGGAGGATATTTTTGAGGATGTTGCGAAGGTATATACGACCATGGTTGCTGAGATTATGAATAAGCGTATGTGGAATGGGGCGATGGGGCAAGCAGATGTTATGGTAGTCAACAAGGGTTAACTTCAAGCTAGCACCAAACCAAGGGGGAGATTGAAAGGCCCAATTAGTGGTTTGGTCTAGGCTTTTGCATTGTAATAGTGGTTGTGTATAGATAGAGTATTTTGGTGGGATTGTTAGTTGTTTACGAGTCTGTAATGAGTTTACGGCCGTAAACACCTTACGGCTGTAAACTCTTTTTGGTCGTAGTTCCCTATATATAGAGGGTTAGCCAGTCGTGTTTTGTTGTTGATGCCTAATAGTTCACGGTCGTATATCGAGTTGTACCAGACGTTTTCAGCAATAGAATGTGTGCAAGCTTGATTTCTTTTCTTTTCTTCTATTATTCTTGTTTCTGTGATTGTGTTTGCTTTTGATCAGTGGTAAGATCCATTCTCAAGACCTTACATGTTTTATTGACAATGTTTTGGTAAAATGTTTATTAAATGCGTTGATTCAAAAATGAAATTTTTGGCCTTGAATATTGGGTCGTTACAATAATCCATAATGTAATACATTTATATTAACATTTCACCAAATTACTTAAAAGTGGAAAAAGATTTTAATAGTAAGCTTATTTACATTAGATTTTAGACACAATACTCTTCTTTTGTTGCCACTTTTAGTCCCTATCTTTATAGTAACTTTTTTTACTTTGATTTCAGCCACGATACTTTTTCTTTGTTGCCAATTTTAGTCCATATGTTTATTCCTTTATAATTTTACCCTCTAAAAAGCATGGGTACTCCACTAGCTGATATTAAACCAAATTACCAAGTCCAAAATAAAATACATGTTTGTTTATGCCTTTACAAATGTATTTTATATGTATTTAATACTAAGAAAAAACAAACATTTGCTACATACAACTATAATCACATATAATATAAACACTAATATTAAAAGTCCAAAATACATTATTCAAATTTCAAAACATTATTTAAACATCATTGCAAACTTTAACTCATTTAGTCCCTTATATTAAACCAAAAGAATCTACATAGCCTTAATTGTCATAATATGAAAGTACATATCAACAAACTACTCATAAATTATACCAAACTCCCTAGAAAACCTAACGAAACAAGCATCCCATAAACAAATATTACACACAAACACCCATTTGTATCCATTCACAAAAGCGTCTGACACACTACCTACAGACTTATGCAATGCACAAGATCTATGGAAGCCATGGAACTATACATGTTTCCTCCCCTCCCTATTTAAGTGGAGATGAACCTTAGAACAAGTTTCTCTAAGATTCCACTTACCTTTTGCTCTGCGGTAAGCATTGTTCAACATGTTCAAAGCTTCGTGCTTCCCATGTCTCCCTTCACCCATCAGCATCATTCCCAGGACAAATGTTGAATCCAAATGTCCTAATGCAGATGCTTCTTCAAGCATCGTTTTCCCTTCATATTCAGCTTCTAAGAAAAATAACTTCATCTGAAAAAAAACATTAAACACGTAATTTCTAATTAAAGTTATGCAAAACAAGTAACAAATTAATTACTACTATGCATATATACAACAACATACCAATCCATTCCTGAATAGAATATTTGGGTTCCTCATCTCTATGCATTTATTGACAATTGTATGTTTCTGGTCAGAGCAAACACGAAAGTGTAACTGCAAACGAAACACAATGTTCCCTCGATAATGTAAAGACAACTCAAATACACTTATGAAATAGAATGATCAAAGGAAAAACTTACACACTATTCATCCTGAAAGCCTCGACTGCTGAAATTTTTGCCAAGTCGACTATTATTTTCTCCATCACTTCAAATGGCATGTCTGATAGCGATTTTGTTTAATTTATTGATTGAATCTTAGATGAAGTACTAGCTTCCATAATAATAAACATTCACTAAGATAACGATTCTGTGAAATTGATTTAGGGTTTTTTGTCTGTCGGAATTTTTAAGTTGGGGATGTTTCGAAGTGACTGAATTTCAGAGTGAAGAACTGAAACAACGTGTTTCATCAGAAAACATTATGGCGCCTAGAAGATGTTCCATTACAAAATGACCAAATTATCCTAATACATACAATAACTCGTATTTGATTAGTAAGGGTGGTTTTGTAAAAACTCATATTTAAAAGAAAATTCAATTTCTATTTTAATTAATCAAGGTTGTAAAAATCGATCGTCGGTAGCTCGACGGTCGACTGGCAATAAGCGATTAATCAGACTCGGCATGGATTAATCGGGGACCCTAAATTATTAATAAAATTATTTAAAAAATTAATATCTCCTACGAAATTAAGTATTTGAAATTTTTAAATTTTAATACACAACCGGCACAAATGATATATGTTAACCAATGGCCCATATGTCATCCATATGTCAACCATGGACACCATAGGCAACAACCATTTTGACCAATCTCCCATATGTCATCCCTATGTCAACCATGGATACCATAAGCAACAACCATGTTGACCAATGGTCCATATGTCAACTGTGGACACCTTAATCAGCTATCATGTTGACCAATGGCCCATATGTCATCCATATGTCAACCATGGACACCATAAGCAACAACCATGTTGACCAATGGCCCATATGGCATCCATATGTCAACCATGGACACCATAAGCAACAACCATGTTGACCAATGGCCCATATGTCATCCATATGTCAACCATAAACACCTTAAGCAACTATCATGTTGACCAATGGCCCATATGTCAACCATGGACACCATAAGTAACAACCATGTTGACCAATGGCCTATATGTCATCCATATGTCAACCATGGACACCATAATCAACTAACATGTTGACCAATGGCCTATATATCAACCATGGACACCATAAGCAACAACCATATTGACCAATGGCCCATATGTCATCCATATGTCAAATATGGACACCATAAGAAACAACCATGTTGACCAATTGCCCGTATGTCCTCCAAGGACACCATAAGCAACAACCATGTTGACGAATGGCCCATATGTCAACCATGGACACCATAAGCAACAACCATGTTGACCAATGGCCCATATCGCATCCATATGTCAACCATGGACACCATAATAAACAACCATGTTGACCAATGGACCATATATCCTCCATGGACACCATAAGCAACAACCATGTTGAACAATGGCCCATATGTAAACCATGGACACCATAATAAACTACCATGTTGACCAATGGCCCATATGTCAACCATGGACACCATAAGCAACAACCATGTTGACCAATGGCTCATATGTCATCTATATGTCAACCATGGACACCTTAAGAAAATACCATGTTGACCAATGGCCCATATGTCAACCATGGACACAATAAGCCACTACCATATATATTGACATGACTCGTATGTCTTTTGTATATAAATTTTGGTTTAATTAGAAAGCATAAAGTGGTATAGTTTTTAATGTTTAGTCCTCGTATATAATTTTAATTTAAATTTATACTATGAACACATCGTTACTCTATGTTCTTTCTTGATGTTATTTATATGTATATATCATATCTATCAATCTGTAGCTACTTTAAATAAATTTGAATTACTAAATATTTAGCGGTAATTAGCATCGTTCGAATTTTTTATTAGTGGAGGTTCAAAGTATCACATTTAGTTTCCCTCCAACCTATACACGTTTATGTTGCATATTAGGGTAATTAATTACCGATTAGAAATAGGGTTTACATTTTCTGTAATCATCGTCTCTGGCGGCTTATTGCTCAAAATATTTGTTCGTTATACATTTGTGCACTGACTTTGGTGATATAGGTTGTCAGTCATCTAAAATTTATTTTAATTTAATTTATTGTTGTTGTGATGATCGATAGTTTTTTGTTCTCTGATCATCTTCATGTAAATTGGTTTTGATTGTATTCAATAGTTTGCATGCAAAGTAATGCCTTCATATATAATTTATTTTTATTGTTTGTGTCATAAAGATGTCAACCTCGAAAGCAAAAGAAGCATCCGGTGTGAAGCCAACTAAATTCATTGCACCACAAGTTATGAAATGCAACAGGATTTCTGCTCCAAATTCATAAACACACACTTACAAGATGAAGAGATCGACTTGCCAATACCAACAACCACATCCAAAGCACCTATAACATCTACCAACAAAACCCCTAAACCTATATCATTAACATCACCCATGACTACCACTTCCTCGACATCACTTAAAACAACCACACCCTCCTTAGAAAAAACATTTAAAATTTCAGAAACTGGAACAATACAATCGTCAACACGAACATCAATAACAAAAACTTCAGAACCTACATCATCTAAACCATCCTCAACACATACACCCACTACCACATCATCAACACCTATTTCTACTACCACAACCTCAAAACCTGCATCTACACTACCATCCTCCATAACTACAATAACTACCATACCCTCCTTAAGTAAAGGAACTACAACATCCTCAACATATACATCTATCCCAACACCTGCCCCAGAATATACCCCATCAACAACACCTATCCCAGAATCTACCCCATCACCAACACAACCACCCATGAATGAATCTGTAGTGGAAAGTGTAGAAGGTGAAAACAATTCCTCTGAAGATTGTGGACCAGATGGACGTTTTAATGTTCATGTTTGGAAAAATACGTGAGTTACCAATTCAAATCTTAATTACAACTTTTTTTTATATATTAAATTTTGGTTTACACCTACATATCAATTCATAACTAAAAACATCACATGATTACTTGCAGGCTAAAGCCACCAGGCCCTTGTGCACACGTTATTAGTCAGTCCTTTAAACAAAGAGTAGATCCAGAAGGGTACGCTTGGGCACAAGTAAGCAAAGAAATGTGCGACTTGTATTGGGAGGAGTTTCAGGTAACTATAAGTGATAAATTGTTGTTTGGTAAACATTTACACTTCAAATTATGTTTATATTGTTAATGTGTAGAAAAATGTTGTTGGGATGAGACAATAGACTTGTTGGTGAGGTAAGCTTAGGCAAGGAAAGTGGCACAAAGTTATGGTCAATATCTCTTCAACATGAGGAGCCCAAAAACAAAAAAACATGGCTTTAAACCAGCTCATATTCCACAGGAAGTCTGGAACTCCTAGCAATTAAAATGGAATACGCTCAACGATGTGGCTGATCGAGTAGCAAAACCCACACATAACGCTGGATCCGCATGTCATTTGAAGATAGCTTCTGATTTGGTAATTTTTTAAATGGTACATCGTATCAATATTTGCATATGTTTATCTGTATATTTGACTTTTTATATGGTATTTATGCAGAAGAGGAAATTAGGACATGAGCCACCCCATAGCGAATTGTTCCTGTATACACACACTAAGAATCATGATGGAGTCACTTTCACAAATGAAAAGGATAGACAAATTCATGGAATATTCATTTCAATTTAAGTTAACTTTTATATTGTAGCTACTCCATATTATCATTCGTAAATTTGATATATTTTAACTTATAATATTTTCATTTTGTAGGCGGCCTATACAAAAAAAGGGGAAAAGTTGGAAGCTAAAGGTGTTGAATTTGAGGAGGACAAGCTATTTTATGTTGTTGTAGGTGGTCATGATAAATAATAAATAAATAAATAAAAAGACTTTATGGATTAGGCTCTTTGCAAAGGCAGTTCCCAATAAGAATGGTAAAACGGATGTAACTTACATTCCGAAAAAAATGATGAAATAGAATAAATGAGGGAGTTTGTTGGTAAACAACAACAGCAAAACGAAGAGCTTAAAGAAACGATGAACATCCAACAAGAGGAAAACAAAGCAAGGGTCGGGTATCTTGAAAAACAACTTCAAATGGCATTGGATCTTATTAATGGCTTTACAAAACAACAATAGTATTAGGTTGATATATGTTTATTGAAGATTACGTATTTTAGAGTAGCAACTTTCTTTTTTCAATGTAATAAATAATTATTTTGTTATTTAATGATATGATGGTTATGATTTTTTTGTTTTTCATATATTACTACAAAATTATATGGATATAATTTATAAATCGATTATTCATCGGTCCATATTGAATATGGTATATAATATATACACCATTAAAATTGCTAGGGATTCATGACCACGGAATATGCTAGGAAGTGATCAAATGGAATTTGCTAGGGATTCATCACCACGGATTTAGCTAGGGATTCATCACCACGGATTTAGCTACGTATTCATCACCATGGATTTAGCTAGGGATTCATCACCATGGATTTTGCTAGGGATTCATCACCACGGATATTGCTAGGGATTAACTACAACAGAATTTGTGATGGAAGAACTACCACGGAATTTGTGATGGAAACCTACTACTGAATACATGACGGAATACCATCTACCACGGATTTCATTCCGTTGTCACAATTGCGACGGAATTATCGTTTCCGTTGTAAACCCCTCACTACGGCGTTTTTAGGGATGGAAATAGGTCGTTGCAAATTTTGTCGCTATTCGTCTTTTGCAACGGAATTTCAGCTTTTCGCAACGGATTCCTTCCGTAGCAAAATCGTGTTTTTATTGTAGTGTGAGGACATGGTGAAATACTCCCCTACAATCCCAAATGACAAGGAGTGACAATAGGATCCCCCTACCTGAAGGATTCTAGGGATCCACAAGCTTTGGGCTGGTTCCGCAACTGCCCTATTACAACCTTGGCCCGAATGGCCCCGCAATGACCAACCAAGAGCACCAAAATCCCTTCCTTGGCTGAACCAAAGACCACCTGGGTCTATTCCAAAATACCGCAAGTAATCTCCGATGAGATGAACTCCTGCGTCGGCACATCGATCGACTCAGTACCTGCTATTGAGCAGGAACCAAAATCTGAACCCCATTCCTGAGTGCTCAACACCCTACCAAAAACAACATGCAATAGATATGAATATACCCAATAATCCTCATCCCACAGGCTTCCTAGATTCTCCAAGATTCTCCTCGATTCGAGTATGGATCATGTGTTTTTAGTAGTACGGGCCTAATACTACCTTCCACGCCTATCCATACTTTCCTCAAGTATCCTCCTGAATCCTTTAAGTCGCCTTCTCTATCCATGCACCAAACACTCGTTCACCAATGCAACAAAACCCAACAAAGCAATCCCTAGGCTTTCCTAGGTTCTTGACTTCACCATGCTATCAGCTGCTGAGGAACTCCTTATAATGTCAGTTTGATACCTTATGAACACAATCACATGCAACAAAGCTTATGTAACACCCTATTTATTTAATAAATAAATAGATAAATTTATGAAGGAGTAGTAGCCCTAAACTCCATATTATTCAGTGAAATGTTGGTTTTGGGAGCTAAATGTTATAATTTTAGAAGTTGGGGGTTAAAATGGTAAGTTATGGGTTTAATTTGAAAAGGATTTCAAAAGTCAGGGTGCATTTGGTAATTAATGGACTTAAATTGAAAAGATTTGAGAGCTTAGGGCGTTGGTTGGTAATTTCGGGACTTATTATGAAAGGAAATTATGGGATCAAGGGCTAAAGGGCTAAAGGGGAAATATTGGATTAAGATTGAAAGAAATGTTCTGGAGAGGGGCCATTCCTGCCATCATGGAAGGTAGTTTGTTAAGGCACGGTACTTAAGCATTGTTCTTCCTAACCCTAACCCTAAATCATAAGTAGCCGTTACCCCTCCCCCTTATGCCTCCTACCGCCGACCGCCACCCCATTCTCCCTTGCTTCTCTGACCGACCAAGTTGCCAAAGAACCAAGATGACCGGCGTCGTTCCACTCCACCGAAGACGTGAACCACTACTGCTAAAGATGAAGGCCACCATGGAGTGCCATGGCAGTTGACGGTCAGAAGGAACACACATGGGGGTGTCGCTGTTGCTGTTTCCAATGGATATCTCTACTCCGTTATAGCGTTGTTGTACCGTCTCCTCTCTTCTACTATTTCATTGCTGTCACCGTTCTTTTTCTTATTCTTTTTGCTGCTGCCACCTCCTTGTGTCACCACCACCACCATATGCCGCCAGGTTGGTGGCTGGATCCACTTGCAAGCAAGGAAACACATGTGTGTGCT